TATCGTATCATTTAATGTGATGATACAGTATCAATATCAGGGGCTGCTATATCGATATATCGCCAAGAGTGTTTTTTGGTATATTTTGTAAAATGATTTTGTTACAGCACTACAGTTTTATTGCGTGTTCAGAGGAAGGAAACTCGTTAATGCGACACATTTGACATTTTTGCAGTTTTGATGATTTACATGGGTGTGTTTAACTTTGTACAAGAAGTGGTTTAACAAAGACTTTTAGCATCACAGCCATGATTTAGCCATTATTTTTTTTATTGAAGCTGCATCGAATTGATTTGAAATGTATCATACTGAATCAAAAGTGCACTGTCTTGAGATATGTATTGTATCGTGGCCTATGTGTCAGGGTATGTATCGTATTGGCAACTTCTTAATGATATCCAGCCCTAGTGTTCTACATGTATCTCTATTGGTGGCATGTTCAGCAGTTACAATGGTGACACAATGTGCACATTAGCAAACAGCAGATTTTCAGGAGCCTGTGAGAGTTTATGGTCCTGTTTAGGTGTCTGATAAAAAAAATAAATAAATAAAATAAAAAATGAAATGAACTTGTTGCCTAATGCTTTCTTGCTTGTGACTGTAATTTTATGTGAGAGACTTGTTTAACTGCACAAATCAGCTCACCTGTTGTAGTTTCAACTAAACCAGCTCTCCCAGGCCAGATTGTGTTAAAATAAAGAGTCTAACTTGAATAACAAATGTGCTAAGAGAGCAATGCTTTCAGTAAGTTTCACACCCACAGGGAATGTTGATGATATCAGCTGCAAAGTATCAGTAAACAGCTCTGTTTGTGAGAGTCATGAAGTGCACAGTCAGCATGCTAGTTGTTGTTAGCCTTACTGTAATGGTAAAACTCCACTCTGGTCTCTCAAAGTTGCAGAAAGTGCTTATGAACTACGATACTCTTAATAAATAAATTAAGTGAAGAATAACTTTGGACCACTGCAAACCATTTAAAATAAACTAGTCCAGATTTTCACTACAGGATTTTTTGGTTTGATTTAAATGTGCAACAAAAAGTGCACACCACAGACATGAGGGGAATCTTATGAGACTTAAAATCTCATTTTGCAAAGACTGCAGCGTGATATGGCTGCGTTCCACAGGATATAATGTTGTGAGCTCAATCGCAACAGCTGTTTCCTGTCTGCAGTAAAACCACTCACTTTGAGACTCTCAAGTGTTCAAAAGATTAGAGCTCTGCACCTCTAGTTTAGATAAGTCAAAAGGGAGTTATTATTATTCGTGAAACATGGTGCAATACTTCAGAAACTTGAAGTATACTTAGAAAATTGGCGATAAAATACATAGGAAGTAGAGTCTCTATCGCCAATCTGCATCTTCACCTCAAACCGTGCTCTGTGTGGATGTGAACAGACATACGTGAGGAACTACTCTCACCTTTTACTTTCAAAGAACGCCTCAATCTTGATTAATAGCACGGTTTTGTTGACTGGATGTCATTATTTGGGCAATTTCTATGGATAATGTTGATGAGATGCTGCAGTTTATATTTACCACTTTACGAGAGGTGAGTAATAGTCTTCTCATTATTTTCACTATATCCTGAGTTTGTATCTTGCCCCTCTGTGTCTGTCACACCGTCTGCCCCGATACTCCGTTTTATTGGCTTTTACCGAAGCGTATGTTGCCGTAGCTGATGTTTAAGGAGCACAGTGGCTTCACAATCGCACACAAAGACAAAAATTTGTGTCACTCGGGAGAAGAAATTGTAGCCAAAATCGGGCAGATTCTCCTGTAGTGTGTGGAGGCCTTAAGACAGTAGAAATCAGGTACAGCTCCTCTAATAAGACTATCTATCTGTCAAAGCAATTCGAGCGTTTGACATTTTGATAATCACCACGGACTAGACTGCAAATGAATCTAATCTCCAGCTCTCCATATGACAAGGTGTTTGCAATATGGCACTGTGAGAGCTCCAGTCATTCAGAAAAAGTGGATGACGCACTGTTCTGTTCTGTCTGCAGGTGCCTTTGCCCTCCCACTGTGGCCTAGTTCATTCATCCTGGTGAGGTTTTTAGTGTTGGTCTGTTTCCTGTTGTCTCATATCCTGTCCCCACTGTCCCCTGTGTCCTTTTGGGGGCAGGAGCTGTGTCACGTTGTTCTTCTTTTTGGAGTTTTCTAGTTCAAGTACGCACATAATGTAAAGGGTAAATGTAGGACTGACCATTACTGATACTTTGCAATGACATCGCGCTGGGAGTGTCCTACTTGTATCTCTACTCATGGAGTAGCCCTGTTTATACGGCCTATCCCAACAAAACTGTCTGCGTCCGGTCTTTTGACCCCCTCCCTCCCACCCCTGTCTCTTGTCCATCCTTCAGCCGGACATCATCTACAAGGAGGGAGAGTCCTGAATCAGCTGGGTGACCATTTTGGATTGGAGACAGAGGCCCCATCCTGAGTCTCCCCTCAGCCATCATATCTATCCATCATCTATAAATATCTTTATTGTATTCCATTGCTGTGGCGTGGTCCTTGCTAGTGAATCAAAAACCAAAAAATATTTAAAAATAGGCTCTTTTCACGCTTACGTAACAGTCCAGGAAGACGTTTGGAAACATGGGATGACAACTTCCGGTGTAGTTCCCGACATCGGGCTCGCCTACTGACTGTGGAGTAAATATGATCAGTGGTAAAATGAAGACTGCATACGTATGGAATAATTTTCAGTTTGGCACCTCATCTCTTCTAATCACATGTACCCAGTGCGCTCGGTGTTGTGCATCAGTGGGGAAATGATGAAAACTGAGGTATGGTTGTAATTGTTGATTAGCTGAACATAACAGAACGCTACAATAACACGTAGATGAAGAAATCCGGGACATTTTCAAATTTTTCCTGTATTTCCCGCCAGAAGTTGTCATCGCATGTTTCCAATTGTCTTCCTGGTTTGTAACATAAGCGTGAATAGAGCCTATAGCCTATACAAAGTGGATTTAAGTTCTCAGGAGCCTGTAATCAATATGAGAGTTCCTGGTCCTGTTTAGGTGTTTCAAAAAAAAAAAAATTTGAGAGTGAATAAGTGAAAAACGAATGCTTGATAGCTTGTAACAGTAGTTTTACATGTGAGACACTTGTTTAAGCGCACAGATCATTTCCCCTGTTGTAGTTCCAACCAAGTCAGCTCTTTCTGGTCAGTTTGTGTAGGATATATAAATATAAATAAAGCTCAGATAAAGTCTAACTTGAGTAACAAAGCTTCTGACAGAGTAGTGCTTTCTGTTAGCTTCAAACCCAGGGAATAGTGATGACATCAGCAGCAAAGTACCAATAAAACAAAAAAAAAGATGTGTAATTGCTGATATATTGTTTTAAATTCTTTTTAAAACAAATAAATAAGGCTTTTAAAGTATGCGACAGTATGTTGATAGTTTATTAAATTTATATTGAACTAATACAAGACATTTATATATTGTTTTTTTATGAATGTTATAATTATTTGTTCTTATAGGTATTTTGAAATCACGAACAAGATTGTGTTTATCTCATTGACTTTCCTCTGTGTAAATAAATGTTAATAATAAAGATGAAATTTGCACAAAAAGCCTCTCCCTCCATCTGTGTTTCAAATCAAGCCTCTGATGATGCATTGAATTAGAATTAAAAAATCCATTGCCTACACATTTTCAAATATTTAAAAGATCTCATTAGCTACATAACCAGGCTCCTGCTTAAACTTATTATGAAAAGAGTCTTAAAGTTTTAGTGATGAATTTTAATTAAGTTTTCAAATTTTTCAGTAGCTGTATCTGACTCTAGACTGTAGCCTGTATATAAATGGACATATCTAACCTGCTGGAGCCACCGCGCTTCTGGCTACATCAACACTCATTCCAATTGACTTTCCATTGAAAATTTGTCACTCACACTCAGTAACTGCTGCAGTGAGCTTCGTTTTTTTGGTCTTAAAATGTTCACATTAACCCACTCTCCATGATCCTGGTGTTTTTATTTTGCCATTTTGTCCATAAATTAATTCCTCTTCCTGAAAAGTCTGATTCATCAGCCGGTTTTATTTCGTTTCACTTCATACAAACCTTCTGACCTCGCAGCATTAGAATTCGTTGGCTCGAAGGTAGGCGGGTACTTTTTATCATTTAACCAATCGCTGCTATTTGGTCATGAAGTATGTAATGCGGCACTAACAGGGCTAACTGGTATATTAAGCTTTTCCCAAATCCCGTAGGAAGAAGGACAATAACGTCTTTCTCCTTGATAAAATTCACCAAACATTTTCTTTATTCCAGCTTTAAATCCTCGATATTGGGAATCGTTGACAACACTAAATATATGGCTCTTTGCTGATTGGCTGGTGCCTGAACTTGCACTTGCGGGATTTTTGCGAACTGTTTTGTGTATTTTGATTCCTGACCTAGACGCTGGAGAGAAATGAAATTGAGTGGAGACACTAGGTGGCGCCAGCCTGGGAAGAAATGAATAGGAAGTGGCTCCAAATCCTTCTATAGCTGCCGGCCTCATGAGCTTCATTTGACTGAACTCAAGCGCTATGGGTGACGTCACACTCTCTTAGTCCATGTTTTTATAAAGTCTATATCAGACCTGGGCATTATGCAGCTCCTGAGCCACATACAGCCCTTTGGTTGACTCTGACAGGCCCGTTTAAGATCATTTGTAATTACAAAATAAACATATTTTATGCAGGGACTAAAGTTGCATTGCTTTTTATTTTAGAGGTGTTGTTTTTAAATCATAACATATACTTTTACCCTTTTTACCAGCTTGTCAAAACAATACTATTTACTGCTTTTTATTAATATTATGCAAAACTGAGTTAAGCATTTTGGCCCGGCCCTCCACAATATTTTCTGTTTCTAATAATAATTGCCCACCCCCGGTCTGTGTATTCGACAGTTAGCGAAATATCTATGTAGACTCTTAATGTGAGCAAAATTATCATTAAATCCTAATATAAAACCTGTAATAGTGATCCGTACCTGATGAAGTAGCAGCAGAAGATGAGGCTCAGGATGAAGACGAAGATGCCTGTGCCAAAGATGACCATGTAAATGTTAAGAGGCAGGTCCTGGAAGGTGATGGGTGGCATGGTGCATGACTTGTTGGAGTAAACCAGACCCAGACCACAGAAGCACCCTGCACAAAAACACATGAGCAGGTCTGTCAGATAATACAGTGTGAAGAGAGATATATGGCTACAGAAAATATTGTTATAAATGATACGCGCCACTGTGTTTTTAAACTCCATGCACCTTCAGTAGAAATATTCAAATAATTTCAGCCCTGGAATTTCCTCAACGCTCTAAACAAAAGGTAAAAAGGTAACAGTTAACATTAAAATTATCGCTTCAAGAGGTGGAACAGAGCATTTTGCGCTTTGGAGATATAGACAGACTAATAATGGGTTGCTCAAACTTGTGGGAATGAAACAAAATACAACTCCAGGTACATATTTTGATGACATTTCTAACATTCTAACATTCTAACATGTTTAAAAGCTTACAAGAGTCAATTGTGCATAATATAGGACCTTTAAAGAATAAAATAACCCCACCTCAACACACTGTATTCCCATCGATATGTTAATTATTTGACCTGTAGATGGTCAAATTCAAATACATGTTAAAGACTATTCAAGTGGAGAGTTGCTTGTCTTCACAGAGATTGGAATATTCCATCTTTTAGCATTAACCATACCTACCTTACATTTATTTCATTTCAAAAATTAAATAAATAATAAAATGTAAAAACTTAACAAAACAACATACATTCTTATTTTGAGCAGGGTTACATCTCCAGAGAACTGAGCCATAACTTCACCTGTCAGAGTCGCCTGCTGGTCTCCATAGAGATAGATACATTTAATGTTACATGGTGGAACATTCAAGGCAAAGCTTTAATATGTACATGTAGAGAAGCATGTGGCAGAGCATCCAACAAAAAAGTTACTTAGTGCACCTTTAATATAGCACAGTCAACAGAACATGTATATACTAATTATTGACACGTGATAAATGCCGTACTATATTTCCAGTACAGAATGAGCACACTGAGATACACTGTCTGTCAACATAACACGAAGAAAAGGCAAACAGCAGACTGCCTAGACTCTTAGAAAAGGTGAATTCATTCTATTCATTGGACGTAAAGAGGTTCATATACTGAAGCTGTATCTAAGCAACTGGGATGTCTGGTAATGAGGCGAGCGGGCAGTCTTTTGTCCTGAGGTCAACGATGGAGGGCAATATTGGATAAATTATTCTGTATTTACTCAGCTCTTTATGTGGAGTATACGTTAGAATGGGTTTGTTATGTAGATCCCAGTAGTATTAGAGCAATATTCATTAAGTCTTCGATAATGTTTTAGACTGTTAACAAAAAACGTTATAGGGCCCAAATTCTACATATTTATGCACTCTCTTCTACCTTGTGATGTCATGTGGTAATACAGGAAGTACTCCACTGTGTTTTTCATGCACCATCACTAAGATCATTTGGATAATTTCAGCCCTGAAACTGGTAAGGTAAAAGATAGCCGTTAACCTGAAAACTGTCACTACATGACATCACAAGGTGCACAGAGTTCTCATTTTGAGCTTTGGAGATGTAGACAGGATCAGTGTTCCATCTAAGGTGTGCACGTGCGTGATTGCGCTCTGCCCAGGTATTCAGAGTGTACACCAAATTCTTTGCAGCTGCCCCCCCCGGACTCAGTTTTTTCTTCCCGAGGGGACATGTCGGATGTTGCTCATGGGGGTCCAAGGAATGCTCGGGGAATTAGAGTGTTTGCTCAGACACATGAAAAATGAGGCGGAACATTGGATGAAACAAAACACAACCCTAGGTCTGACTGAGAAAATAAAACTGGAGAACAAAGTAAGAAAGCATGTAGTCTTTTTACAGGCACATTTTTAGCACTTATCTGATAATTTACATAGATTATAGTTACTGATATTCATCTTAGACCAAGTGTAGTGTTGTGTCCTCTGGCAAAACACTACACCTGCCTAGCATGAATATGTTTTGAGAATGATTGATGGTGGATGTAGCTTACATTCACCATGAAGCGAATGAATAATGACTCATAACACTTTGAGAGGCTTTGTTGAAAAACAGCAGTGTATGGCATTATTATCACTATTAACTGATTGAAACACATTGTCAGAAAAAACAAGTTTGATTACGAACAAATAGCAATCAGGGCACATGGGGAAAATCATAACTGGTGTTGTATTTTCAAATGAAATACAACTCAACATGGCCTTTTCTTTATCATTTACTACTAGGGACTTGATATTAAAATGATCAAACTGACCTAACCTTCCTGGCTGTTGCTTTGCCTGACAGTTCACTAACTTCAGGGAGTTTCTTTTTCTGCAGTCACAAGTCAAAAATGTAAATATAATGTTCAATGCCAAACTATACCGAAAACGGCTGACTTTCAGATGATCACCACAATATATAAGACATAAAATTTAATACAGAAACTAAGATGAATAGTGTTTAAAGCTGCCATCTGTAATTAGATTGCCCGCCCCGCCCCGTTGTATTCTCACATATTACCACTAGATGCTGTCGATGTCACTGCAGTCTGATAATGTGCCACCTTTGACCTGACAGAAAAAGACTACAGAGCACAGTAGAGCTGGCCAGGCTGGTGTCACCTAGTGCCTCCACTCAATTTCATTTCTCTGAAGCAACTAGGTCATGAATCAGGATACACTAGACAGTTTGCAAGAACCCCAGAAGTGGTGGACGGTGCACCGGCCAGTCTGTGAAGAGCTGTGAAACTATGATGTCAAACTCAAGCGTCTGTCTGGGTCACTTTTGTGGCACAGCAAACAGTAAACAAAGCGGTCGAGATGGATGTAGACGAAGACATACATTCTGTGTTGGCAATGATTCCTGAGATTGAGGATTTAAAGCCGGAACAAAGAGAATGTTTGGTGAAATTTATCAAGGGGAAAGACGTTATTGTCCTTCTTCGTATGGGATTTGGTGCATTTCTGATGTCAAGACCAAACAGCAGCAATTGGTTAAATAAAAAAGTACCTGCCTACGAATCCTAATGCTGCGAGGTCAGACGGTTTCCATGAAGTGAAACCAGCTGATGAATGAGGCTACAGGAGAGCCTGAACAAAGGCCAAATAAGGGGAGGGGAAGGGGGGAACAGGTTTCACATCTGCTATCTACTGGTAATAAAATAAAGGCACACTGTGTAACTTTTTGTTTGGGGGTCCATCATCTATTTGTTTCTATGGATATGACATTGCACTTTCTGAAATGTTCCACAGTATGGTGATTTTATTGCTCAAAAATACATAGAGAAACAAACATTCTGACTGTGAATCTTGACCTGTAACTTGGTCTGGTTTAGTCTCCATGAAGATAGGAAAGGTTTAATACTATACAGTGAAACTTCCAAACAAAATAACTATATCTCAACAGTGACAAGCAGGTGCAGACCCTCTACCAGAAAAGTTACATGATGTATCTTTAAATTTTGCTGTAATATGCAATCTCTCATCAGGCTCAACATTTCCATTATAAATACAATGGAATCAAATCAAATCCTATGGGAGTATGGCATCAGTGCCTTCCAAAAACTAAAATCAACCAGTGAAGTTTAGGGTTAGAGTCTTATGTCTTTGTAGCACTTTTTTAGACAAAGAGAGAATAACATTTACCACTTTAATAGGTACACGGGGTGACCTTTGTTTGCTTTCCTTTGGGCTATATTTCATGTGTTTTTGAATCCTGTTCCTGAGGAGAGCCTGACCGCCGACTATTTTGGTTCACTGTGACCTACTGCTGCACTTCCTCTTTTTTCTATTATGCAACAGCCTTAGTGATATTTTTGAATTATCCTTAAGGGATTTACAAGAATGTTGGAAATTCTGAAGTGTGCATTGATACTGGAAGAATTACATAAATCGGACAAAATCACAGAATTGAATGAGAGGACTCACCCTCTCATTCAATTCTACATTTTAGATTCATACAGAAAACATCAAATATATGAAACAAGATATTTTGGATAATTTAGTAAACAAAAAACTCTAAACACTACACTTTATTTGACTAAGCAAAGATGGGTATTTTGAAGATTTGATCATACAACTTTTGGATTTGGTTAAAAAAAATTGTAGTTAACTTTTTTCTTTGTTACATAATTCCATATACAGTATTTGATGTCTTCTGTACGTACATCAAATCAAAATCAAATCGAAAGTAGTACACATATAGAAAAAACATTGAATGAGAGGGTGAGTCCAAACTTTTCACTGATAGTGTATATGCTAGGAGTCACCGAAGATCATATACTATTACACAATGTACCATTATTTGGTGTTGAAAATTACATAGTCTATCTACAGTATATCTAACTATCATCGTGTTAGCAAAATTGCTTCTGAGTACCTTTTTTTTGGGCTGAAATTGGATTTTAAAATTTTATATTATGACAACACTTAAGTAAAATAATGAATGTAAAATTAAAGCGTAGAAACATCACCTTTTAGCGTTTACACTTTTTTTCTCTGCAGGTTTATTCCAGACTGTTTTGTATATTTTTGTATATTTTTTATAGTTCTATAATTGACATTTAACTTGATATTCTACTCTTCCATATCTTTAAATCAACTTTTTAAATTCACCATATTGTAGAGTAGACCATACAATTCCCAGTATTAATAATATAAAGGTCCTGTATGGTGCAAAAGAGTCAGTTTTGCGTCATTCACACATGTTTGAGTAATCTTTTATTATTAGCCTGTCTACATCTCCAAAGCACAAAATGCTCTGCTTCACCTTGTGATGTCATGAAGCAACAGTTTTCAGGTTAACGTCTACCTTTTATCTTTAGTTCAGTAGAGACTGAAAATTATCCAGATGGTTCAAGTAAAGGTGTATGGAGTTTAAAAACACAGTGGAACGCTTCCTATATTACCACATGACATCACATGGTGGAAGAGTGATTTCTGTTTGAACACAGCCTAAATATTAGGGGTGAGCATTGCCTTGAGTCTGACAATGCGATACATATCATGATCTGCATGTCACGATTCAGTATATCACGATATATATCCCAATACTAAAACTATGGATGATATATTGCAATTTATCAATAATTACTT